AACACAGGCAAGCTTTTTTTACATACAGCTCTTTACATGACTTTTCCACATGCCACTCTGTTTTTGCAAATATGCGTCGCAACAGTCTTGACCTTTTTTATTTTCCTTTCTTCACTACCTCATTGGACTCTGGATGGCCGCCCTCCTATCCCTGGTTATTCCTATTGCATTTAGGGTTGGTGCCACCCTTGCCGGTCGATACCCTGCGCTGAATGGGCCGCTGTTCCTGGCCCTGGTTGCTCCCTTCTTCCATTCCCTCACAGGGCTTTTTAGGCCCGTACTGTCTACTTTAATTTTTTAATCTAAATAATACGTATCACTGCCCCTCTGGCCCTTCACTCACGCTATGTAGCGGTAAAATGCAACCCCCTTAACGTATGACTCAACCTTTACTATAGCAGTCGAAAGCGAAGAAAGCTCAAATCGCCTTCAGTTTGCATTTTCCGTCATCCTCCGGGAAAAAAAACTGTCTGCAAAAGTGCCACTAAATGGATGTTGGTGTGAGACTTCTTGAATCACAAATAACTTTCGGTTTATCTGTTGCAAAAGGGACAAGTGCCAGATACGAGGAAGGGATAAAATTGGCCGATCCCCTTCCCCTTGCCTCAGTTGCCCTACGCTTCCATGTGATATGCAAATGTCTGGCCTTAAGATTCAACCCCCTCCCCCGTCTCCCAGCCCATTCCCCTCGAGAGAAAAGTGACATGGTCGGGAATGACAACAGTTCGGTATTATTCCTCGTTAAATAAGCAGAAGGCAGTACGGGCCGTAAAGGCCCAATAGGCAAAAGGGAAAGGCTAATAAGCTGAGAGACAGGAACAACGGCCCATTCAGTGAAGGGTAAAGACCAGCAAGAGCAGTACCTGTCCTACAAGGTGATTATGAATAGCCCATCCATAGGATGGCGGTCATTAGGAATGCAGCAACCAGTAAGTCTGTAAAAAAGGAAAAGGAAACTAAAATAAGGTCAAGAAGATTGTAGTGTTGCATATGTACAGAAACCGTATGTCATGTAAAAAGGTCATTTAGAGAGATGTATGCAAAAGGAAGCATGCCTGTGTTTCATCCCTGAGCTGTAAACACAAACTGCAGGAGGCGTGGTTAGGGGCGGGAATCATAACAAATAACTCTGTCATCGACGTTTTTCTCGCGAATTTTGTATTTTTTGGAAATAAATTTTATTTTTGGCATGAGATACCCCATTTATCGCAAAAATGTCTTAGTAAGGGGGTGATATATACCTGAAGCAGCTCGACTTTTCGAAGCACTTGCAATTGCAAGGGTATTTTTTAGGCCACCTCCACCACTTGATGCTGCAATCTGCATTGCTGTTGCATTATCTCCAACATACACTGAACCATTCGAGTTTTGTGCTAAAATCTAAAAACAAAATTAATTAGTCTAAGCTTCTACATCAAAAACTCGAGACCCCAAGACAGGCCAGTTGTCTGGAACGGAACAATCGGATTATGAGATCAAAGATTATAACTACCTGCTGATGCCTTAGCCAATCCTCATACAATGAATGATTAACGTCCAGCCAAAGTCGCATCAGTTCATCGGATTCTCCAAAATCAATCGATAATTGACTGTCTCCTGAAGCTCAGTTGAAGATAAGCAATGCATTTTTCAACTTTTTGAAAAGTTTCACGCAGAACTATAAAAGAAAAAAGAGCAATCGTACGCCCTCCGTCACAGCCAAGTCGGCTAGAACCAAGCATGAGAAAGAGATTAGCAGATTTTTTAAAGGACATGGATATGTTCTAGTTACGGGATACAAGTGGAATTTAGAGCAGTATTTGACTGCGAAATCCAATAAAATTCGGAAATTTCACAGTTCTACCCCGTCCCTTTCCCTCGGTTATGACCCCTGAGACTTTAACCACCCCACTTACAAGAAATTAAGGTAATATATGGATGACAGACGCCTAGATAAAACAGAAATAGCGAAATCGCTTGATGAATTAGTGGCAAAAAGTGCAACGATGAAAAAATACTACACCAAATCAACAAAATAAAATTACCGTAGAAAATATCGACAAGTTTCTTGACAGCAGCACATGCCATGAAGAAACAGCGCCTCAGATTACTGGCCGTATATTCGGTGAAATCGGCGTCAAATTTTCGAATCAACGGATTTCCCTCACTATCCATTTGACCTGCTTTGAACGTATAGCAGGGATAAAATAGATATCATAGACATATACAAAAACATAAAATTATATTAAAAGATCAGATGGATACGAATGTTTTGGTCAGTTAAATCGTACACATTCCTATTCAGCACTACAGTTGGACCTCATCAGCACAACGGCTGGACCTCATCAGTACAACTGATAAAATACAAAGTCGGTATATGCTTTTGAGTAAGACAAAAAAGGAGGTATTCCTAGAAATTTGGTTTTGACCAACTTTAAGAAAAACTGAAACGTAGACGTATAATTAAACAAAACTAAAAAAACATAAAACTTAAGAAATGTTTCCCTGGAGTCATCAAAAAAACTACATTTCACTTCTTTTTTCGGCAGAAAAGCTTAACAAAAATTATTTACCAGTGGTAAGAAGAGCACGAAGGGGATTTGCTGGAAGTGCACCGGCGATGCGAGGATCATGCGAGATGATATCGGCCGGATTGCCAATTAAGTGCATCAGTTGAAACCAACAAACGTGCAGTACTGGCATGGTAAAGCTTTCTGCAGGCTTTTTTGCTTCAGCAGAAAACAATTTCACCTGTTCATCAGCTGAAAATTTTGAGAAAAACTGCTATGATACAGAATTCACAGAATGGACAAAGGTCTCAGGTAGCAAGGATTACAAGGAAAATGGCTCGGAATACAAGAAAATTCAACAAAAACAAAATGTGAATGTGTTGCGAAAAGAACAGATGCTAACGGCAAGGAAACGAAGCTGCCGGCTAAACCCCTTCGTCTTGCCCAGTGGCTTTTCGATTCCGTGTATTATGCAAATATCCCGTCTCCTGACTCGAGTTACCCTCCGTGATATGTAACGATGTGATTAGAAATGAAATGCGGATTGTTTTTGTTGCGATAAGAAGTGTGCGACGGCAATTTGGAGCTGCTGCCGAATTCTTTTTTGCGGTTTATTATCTTATTCTTTATGCGTTTTTTGCAGCTATGCAATGCAAAAACGCATATTGACGAGGTGTTGTCTGTGTGTCTGTGCGTGCGTCTGTCACGCACTTTCATCTCAGGACCTATGAAAGCTGCAGGAAATTTGAAATTTCGGGAACTTAATCTACATGTACGTGTCGGCCCCAATCCCCAAAATTGTCGCCATCACCCACGTGGTACCCGCGTACGGTCCTGCCAAAATTTTTTCGGGTAAGTTCATAAGTTGGTGATTCGAGAAGCTAGAACGCTGAAATCTTACGGTAATGCTTCCCGTCCAACTAGGTACTAATGCACTGAAACTCATCCTCCGGGTAAGCGTGGTACCCGCATATGGGCCGCCAAAATTTTTTTCGAATAAGTTCATAATTCGGGGATCTGAGAAGCTAGAACGCTGAAATTTTAAAGCAGCATTCTCTGTTCAAGTAGGTGTTACTGCACTGAAACCCATACCCCGGGTAAGCGTGGTACCCACGTACGGGCCCTTGAAAGTCTCTTCCCGGGAAGTTGCTAACTCGGGAAAGTGAGAAGTTAGAAGAATGGAATTTTGAAGGGATGTTTCCTGACAGTCCTGGTGGCCAGTCTGAAATTCTTTTGGCTAGAAGCATCTGCCAGAAAAACCAGTGCCGTTAGCGACAAAAATCTGCTGGGAGCTATGCAAAAAATGCATCTTCGCACGGGCAGCCCATGGGTTAACCCATTATTTTTTGTCTGATCTGCGCTTCTGTACTAATAAAGAATTGTTCATTAGTTTGGGTGTGTGCCCTGCGCTGCTCCACACCCACGGCCGCGCAAAGTCCTCCGATCGCTACAAATATCGTCTCGAATTAAGGCAAAAAATCGCCAGAAATACAAGAAACATGCAAAAAACGGTGTAGGAATGCGATATAAAACATGTTGATAGAACGAGCTCAAAAAATAAAATACAACCTAAAAACTGACTTATTTTTATCGTGCAATAATTTTCGTCATAAATCTCTTGCACAATAAGCACCGATAACGATAACACTTTTCGCGCCCAATTCTCGATAAAACTCACCTAAACTTTTCTAAATGTTAATTTAGTCAAAATTTTCAAAAATTTCTTTACAAGCCAAAAATTTTCTTTTTTA